TCCATTAACACAAAGCACAAATATGAAAAACAGTATGGAATGGGTCAAATAACTAGAGAACAGTCAAGAAATTGCTCGTCAGCACTTACCAGCCTGATGAGAAGGTCAAAAAAATTGTATTATGAAAATAGATTACAGAACATCAAAGGTGATATGAAAAAACCTGGAAAACTCCATCTGAAATTCTTGGAACTAAAAAGTTATCCAAAAACAAAGCAATCAAACTAACAAAATCAGATGAACCCCTACTCACTTCAACCGAAACAGCAAACAGACAATGTTTTCTTCTCCACCATAGGAAAAAATCTAGCAAACAAAATACAGTGGACCCCCGCATAGCGACTTTAATCCGTGCAAGAGAGCTGATTGTTATGCGAAATGTTCGGTATGCGAATGAATTTTCCCCATAAGAAATAATGGAAATCAAATTAATCCGTGCAAGACACCCAAAAGTATGAAAAAGAAATTTTTACCACATGAAATATACATTTTCCTACACACAAAGAGAAGGATACATGCACAATAGTAGAGTAGTACATGCACAATATATATTGTGCATGTACTACTCTACTAAATGAAGAATAATGACACTTACCTTTATTGAAGATGCAGCAATGACTGATGAGACACTGTGTCCTGGGAGTCCCTTTTTCCCTCCTGAGTACTGTAGGTCCTGTTTGGCATTTTCTTCCAGAACGGGCCCCTTACCCCACACTGTGTATGCGACTACGATTCTTAAATCTCTCAAACCAACCTTTGCTGGCTTTAAATTCACCAATATGACACTAGTTCCAGGCATTTTTCCCTGTTCACCTGGGTGTTAGTCGACTGGTGTGGGTTGCATCCTGGGAGACAAGATTAAGGACCCCAATGGAAATAATTTAGACAGTCTTCGATGACACTGATTTTTTTTGGGTTTTTCCGGGGTGGAAAAATCCTCTGGGTAAATTGTTTCTTGTATTCTCAATAAGCCACACCAACAATGGTGCTACAGCAGCAGCAGCAGCTGACAGTGGTACAGCAGCAACAGACGTTTGGTACAGCAGCAACAGACGATGCTACAGCAGCAACAGATTGATGCTACAGCACAACAGATGATGCTACAGCAGCAAGAGACGATGCTACAGAAAGCAGCAGACGATGCTACAGCAGCAAAAAGGACGATGCTACAGCAGCAGCGGGACGATGTACGCAGCAGCAGACGATGCTCCCAGCAGAAACAGACGATGCTACAGCAGCAACAGACGATGCTACACGCAGCAAGCAGATGATGCTACAGCAGCAGCAGACGGTACTACAGCAGCAGCAGACGGTATACAGCAGCAGCAGCAGCTGACGGTGGTACAGCAGCAGCAGCAGCTGACAGTGCAGCAGCAGCAGCTGACAGTGCAGCGCAGCAGCAGCAGCAGCAGCACCCTGACGGTGGTACAGCAGCAGCAGCAGCTGTACCACCAATAGTAGCGAGGGTTTTTGATTGGGGTTTATTATAAAAACCGGGCCAGCTCGGAGACACGCACTCCACTTTCATACTTATCAATGATCTTTTTCTTCATCTCTATAGTAATTCTCATCCTTATTGCTGTAGGGTTGGCACTAGAAGCTTTCTTGGGGCCCATGGTCACTTATTTTCCAGAAAAAATCACCAAAAACACTGTAATAATACGAAATGTTCCGATTGTATGCTTGGATGTTACCGCGGAGGCTGGCTGGTAAACAATGCCACCGGCGGAACATGTGAGCGTGGCTCAGACCGCACATTGGACGCGTCTCGGACGAAGAGCGGTGAGCGGGTTTTTGGGCGGTATGCGAGGCAAAATTTTTGCGAGAAAAGCGAGCGGTATGCGGATTGTACGGTATGCGATGCGTGCGGTATGCTGGGGTCCACTGTACTACCAAGCACAAACGCCCGTCCATCAGACTACCTCATAGGAACCTACCCAAATACGCTATTCCTAGCTCCAACCAACCCTACATATGTATTTACATATGCATTTTCCCACCCAAACGCAGTCATACTAGCAAACAACAGTCAGTGCTGAATTACGGAAAATATCTGCCTGGATGATGACTAACAAACTTACCCTGAACACTGATAAAACCTATTTCATTCAGTTTGGAAACAAAGCTGCAAATGATCCAATTAACATTATGCTAAATGGATCATCAGTCACAAGACTCACAGAGGGAAAATTCCTAGGTATCCACCTTGACAGTAGCCTTGAGTTCCGGACACACATACAACAAATCATCAAGAAAATCTCCAAGACTGTAGGCATACTATCAAAGATAAGGTACTACGTTCCACAATCAGCTCTCCTGGCACTGTACCATTCACTCGTATACCCTTATCTTACATATGGAATTTGTGCATGGGGATCAACAACATCCAATCACCTAAAACCCCTAATAACCCAGCAAAAGGCAGCAGTAAGAATGATGATAAATTCCCACTCCCGCCAGCATACTCCACCAATTTTCAAAAGACTGAATCTGCTTGCCATTAAGAACATCCATACTTATTCATGTGCCTACTACATACACAGAACAATACCCGCAAATATAAACCCCCACTCAAACTTTTCCTCACCAACCTAAACAGGACACATGACCACAACACAAGACACAGATCTCTTTTTGATATACCTCGTGTCCATATCACACTGTAAAAACTCAATGCACATAAAGGGCCCCAAACTATGGAATTCATTACCAGAAGATATTAAAGTAACCCAGTCTGAAAATCAATTTAAGACTCTTCTCAAAAGCCACTTAATCACCCTAGACTAAATGCTAAATACCCAGTACACATTTACTCGCCTATGTATTCCCACATCATAACTGAAACAATCACATTGAACCTTTTATCCATTGTTGACAGGAATATAATTGAATCATTGTTTTTCACAAAAGCATTTTAGAATATAAATACATATATCTTTGTATTATACAAATTTTGATTCATTTATAATTAATATTCTACTGTACAACTATGAAATAATTACTTTCCTACTGTACAACTATGATATACTACTCCTTAGTATTAAGTAGAATGTAAGCCAATAATAAGTTGGCCCATAATGCCTAGGCATAATAGAGGCTCTCTTTGCATTGCAACCCGCTATTATATATACACAATGTACTGTTTGCAAAGACATTAAATAAATAAATAAATAAATAAAATAAATAAATATGAAGTCTTCCTTATTCAGTGTCACAGTGGTTGTTTAATGTACAGTATTTATAGATAGGGTTGTAAAAGAGGTGGATACTAGAGTGTTAGTTTATTTAGATATAGGTACACATAAGTACAGCTACACAAATTGAGGTGATTACAATTATCTTACAAAGTAATGTGTGTACATTACCTAGGATAATCCAGAAAAGGTTGGAGAGTTGCCGGATGAAAAAAAAAATTTAATCTTATAAGTGTCATCACAGTTGCTTTTTTGTTGACACAGTGCTTTGGAAGCTTCTGACATTGTTATTACATTACTGCCCATAATGCTATGCATACAAGTGGCTTTGTACCTCTGTATGTTCAAATTATAAAATAAATAAATAAATTATTAATATTTTTCAGCTTTCCTGTGTTAAGGTGTCAACCCATTTCAACCAAGTCAGAATCTACCCATTCCTATGCTTCAAGGCTTCATCCTTTAATACTTAGCTTTGTCTTGTAGCTAGCTATTCATGCTGCTCTGTTTTATTAGTTAGTTGAAGGCTGCAGTATCTTTTTTTTTTAATGTATTCATGATGATGCAATCTGTGATATTGAGGATCCAGTGCTTTTATCAGCCCCATTTGTAAATCACTAGAACATATCTACATGTTACTAAACTTGTAATTGTCTGCAGACTATAAGTTCATTTTTTCAAAGGCAGTTGCTTTTTTTTTTCTTAACCTTGACCCAGCACTTGCAGAATGATTTAGCAGCATAATTGTTAGTTTGTATTGGTGACATAATGTTTTAAGTTAAGCTACACATGGGTTTTTGGCTACCCTTGACTTATCACTGAAAATTATGCAAGACAGTTCTTTAGTGTTTAAGCACAGATCCTGCCAGGCTTGTCCACAATCATCTTGCAGTCATGCTCTAATTTGTGAGGGTTTTTCAGTCATTCTGGTTGTACATTTTTTTTTTCCAACAAGCGTATAGCACCAAGGTAGGGTGACGAAAAAGAAAGATGAAAATTTCTCATTTTAAATTTAGTAATGTATACAGGAGAAGGTTACTAGCCCCCTTGCTTCTGGCATTTTTAGTTGCCTCTTTGACACGCATGGCTTACAGAGGAAGAATTCTGTTCTACTTCCCCATAGAGTCTGATTGTATATAATATTTTTATTTCTACAAGTGTACATGTACAAGGTATGCAGGCCTAGCTGACATCAGTGACAAACTACTATATAGAAAGCCACTTGTTATGCAGAGCATTTCAGGCAAATGAGGTCAGTTTTGTCCCAGGATGCAACCCACACCAGTCTACTAACTCCAAGGTACCCATTTTACTGATGGGAAACAGACACCCGGTGTAAGGAAATATGCCCAATGTTTCTACCCTCACTGGGAATCGAACCCAGACCCTTGCCATGTGAAGCTAGAGCTTCATGTGTTCATTAGTGAACATGTCGTCTTTATTCTCAGCCTGCCTTTTAGTGACATGCAATGCTTGTATACTAATGTCTGCACTCCTGTCTCAGAGTAGTGTACCAATGATTGATTTACTGCATGGACTTTCAAATCTGACTTCCTGTGTTTTGCATTTTCCTCTAATTACCCTCTATATACTACTGTAGATTTTTTTCTTTTATTACATGCTGTCCCATCTCCCACTATTGTGATTAAGCATTTTGTACAAATAATATTTTGGATTGCTCTAATCTTCTGTGTAAATGGCAATTTCAAATGAATTTCACATTCTATTTTTAAGCTGAATGTAAAGTGTAAAACTGTGTAGTATTGGTTGTGTGCTTCACATTGTTGCAGATAATGTTTTCCACAGAATTGTGATGGAGGCCTCTATGTTGGATTGGTAGGAGCAGCATACATGTTTTATCGCCTTTCCAAGATGCCTGAATTTGCTGAGGAGAGAGACCGTTTCTTGGAGCAAGCAATGGAGTATTTGGAACCTGCACTTGAAGAAGCCAGCTACACAAAGGGCCATGGCAAGAAAGTTGATGTTGTTGCATTTTTACTGGGCAATGCTGGTGTATATGCTGTGGCAGCTGTGATATTTAAAGCACTAGGTAAACCTGGATGTTATATTGACATTGATGTTTTCTTGAGACATTGCCAATATATTTTTCTTTGTATACTTTGTAGGAAAGAATTTAGAGAATGATCCAAACAGGTTTAGCATTTACATGTATTCTATTTTAACCCTTTCGAGGTTTCGGCCGTACTAGTATGGCTTACGCGCCAGGGTTTTTGACGTACTAGTACACATAAATTCTAGCGCCCTCAAATCTAGCAAGAGAAAGCTGGTAGGCCTACATATGAAAGAATGGGTCTGTGGTCAGTGTGCGCAGTATAAAAAAAATCCTGCAGCACACAGTGCGTAATGAGAAAAAAAAATCTGTTTTTTATTTAAAACCGACTTTGCACTGTATTTTCGTATGGTATTTATGATTGTATACTAGTTTTCCTCGTCTTATTTTATAGAATGGAAGACATGTTACAGAAATTGAGATGATTTTGATTGGTTTCACGATGAAAAGTACCTTGAAATTGAGCTCAAAGTAGCAGAAATGTTAAATTTTTGCCAAAGTTCAGAAGTAAACAAATCATGCTACGCGTCCAATACACGTCAACTGGTGGATCTAATATTTTTCACAAGTGTGCTGGTATTATTTATACCATTTCTACACTAACACAGTAGTCTGCATAACAGTAAATCTTCTATTTTTTGTGAGAATAAAAATTCAAAGTGGAAAGCATAAGAAATGTAAGAGGGGCATGGGGATGTGACTAATGAACAGAGGAAATGTTATTTTAGTGCCAGGAATGTCTTTCTTGTTTATTCTGGACCCTATTTGGAAATTGGCATCTTTTGAAATTTGTGTGAAATTGGCAAAATTACTAAATTCTGACCACTTTATTGGATAGTTGAAATCAGTAAATGGGTGGTTTCTTGTACTTATTCGATAGAAAAAACGGAGTTCTAGCGAAATAGTTATGATTTTTGTCGACTAGTACACTGGAATTGGCTGAAAATAGGGCTCAAAGTGGGCAAAATCGCTGATGCGTAAACATCGTCGAGACCGCTAACTTCGCGAGAGCATAATTCCGTAAGTTTTCCATCAAATTTCATACTTTTGGTATCATTATGACCAGAAAAAGGTTCTCTATCTTTTCTTAAGAAAAAAATTTTTTTTTTTTTTTTTTTTTTTTTGAAATTTTGGTGACCCTGAGAAGAAATCTTTGAGAGGGCCTGGCAACCCTCAAAGGGTTAATATACAGCCTCTCCTCACTTAGTGACATACTTGTTTACTGACAACTCAGACTTACGATGGGCTCTGACCAGTATGTATGCCTAAATAATGTATATTAGAGCTGATTTCCTCTATTCTGTTTATTACAGTATACTACTACTGTACAGTGGAACCTTGTTTTTTGGCTGTAATTCGCTCCCGAAGGTCGGCCTTAATTCGAAGCAATATTTCCCATGAGAATTAATGTAAATACAATTAATCCCTTTTTATAAAGGGAAGGGGGACAAAAGAGATTGTAAAAATTATAGAGGAATTAGTTTACTGAGTATACCAGGAAAAGTGTATGGTAGGGTTATTATTGAAAGGATTAAGAGGTAAGCCAGAGTATAGGATTGCGGATGAGCAAGGAGGTTTTAGAGTGAGTAGGGGATATGTAGATCAGGTGTTTACATTGAAGCATATATGTGAACAGTATCTAGATAAAGGTAGGGAAGCTTTTATTGCATTTATGGATTTAGAAAAGGCATATGATAGTGGATAGGGGAGCAATGTGGCAGATGTTGCAAGTATATGGAATAGGTGGTAAGTTACTAAATGCTGTAAAGAGTTTTTATGAGGACAGTGAGGCTCAGGTTAGGGTGTGTAGAAGAGAGGAAGACTACTTCCCGGTAAAAGTAGGTCTTAGACAGGGATGTGTAATGTCACCATGGTTGTTTAATATATTTATAGATGGGGTTGTAAAAGAAGTAAATGCTAGGGTGTTCAGGAGAGGGGTAGGATTAAATTATGGGGAATCAAATACAAAATTGGAAGTGACAGTTACTTTTTGCTGATGATACTGTGCTTATGGGTGATTCTAAAGAAAAATTGCAGAGTTTAGTGGACGAATTTGGGAGTGTGTGTAAAGGTAGAAAGTTGCAAGTGAACATAGAGAAGAGTAAGGTGATGAGGGTATCAAATGATTTAGATAAAGAAAAATTTGATATCAAATTGGGGAAGAGGAGTATGGAAGAAGTGATTGTTTTCAGATATTTGGGAGTTGACGTATCAGCGGATGGATTTATGAAGGATGAGGTAAATCATAGAATTGATGAGGAAAAAAAGGTAGGTAGTAGGTTGGTAGACAGCAACCACCCAGGGAAGTACTACCGTCCTGCCAGATGACTGTGAAACAAAAACCTGTAACTGTTTTGCATGATGGTAGGATTGCTGGTTTCTTTTTCTGTCTCATAAACACGCTAGATAACAGGGATATCTTGCTACTCCTACTTACACTTTGGTCACACTTCACAGACACGCACATGCATATATATATACATACATCTAGGTTTTTCTCCTTTTTCTAAATAGCTCTTGTTCTTCTTTATTTCTTCTATTGTCCATGGGGAAGTGGAAAAGAATCTTTCCTCCGTAAGCCATGCGTGTCGTATGAGGCGACTAAAATGCCGGAGCAATGGGCTAGTAAAACCCCTTTCCCTGTAGACATTTACTAAAAAAAGGGGAAGAAAAAAACGTTAATAAAACTGGGGTGCATAAATGTCGTGGATGTAGTGCGGATGAAAAAGAAAAAGATGATTGCTGATGTTATGAATGAAAAGAAGTTTTGGGTGTCCTGGCCCTAAGCGAAACAAAGCTGAAGGGGGTAGGGGGAAATTTCAGTGGGGGAAATAAATGGGATTAAATCGGAGTATCTGAGAGAGTTAGAGCAAAGGGAAAGGGGTAGCAGTAATGTTTAAATGATCAGTTATGGAAGGAGAAAAGAGAATATGAATGTGAAATTCAAGAATTATGTGGATTAAAATAAAGGTTGGATGCGAGAAGTGGGTCATAATAAGCGTGTATGCACCTGGAGAAGAGAGGAATGCAGAGGAGAGAGAGAGATTTTGGGAGATGTTAAGTGAATGTATAGGAGCCTTTGAACCAAGTGAGAGAGTAATTGTGGTAGGGGACCTGAATGCTAAAGTAGGAGAAACTTTTAGAGAGGGTGTGGTAGGTAAGTTTGGGGTGCCAGGTGTAAATGATAATGGGAGCCCTTTGATTGAACTTTGTATAGAAAGGGGTTTAGTTATAGGTAATACATATTTTAAGAAAGAGGATAAATAAGTATACAAGATATGATGTAGGGCAAATGACAGTAGTTTGTTGGTTTATGTATTGGTAGATAAAAGACTGTTGAGTAGACTTCAGGATGTACATGTTTATAGAGGGGCCACAGATATATCAGATCACTTTCTAGTTGTAGCTACACTGAGAGTAAAAGGTAGATGGGATACAAGGAGAATAGAAGCATCAGGGAAGAGAGAGGTGAAGGTTTATAAACTAAAAGAGGAGGCAGTTAGGGTAAGATATAAACAACTATTGGAGGATAGATGGGCTAATGAGAGCATAGGCAATGGGGTCGAAGAGTATGGGGTAGTTTAAAAATGTAGTGTTAGAGTGTTCAGCAGAAGTTTGTGGGTTACAGGAAAGTGGGTGCAGGAGGGAAGAGGAGCGATTGGTGGAATGATGATGTAAAGAGAGTAGTAAGGGAGAAAAAGTTAGCATATGAGAAGTTTTTACAAAGTAGAAGTGATGCAAGGAGGGAAGAGTATATGGAGAAAAAGAGAGAGGTTAAGAGAGTGGTGAAGCAATGTAAAAAGAGAGCAAATGAGAGAGTGGGTGAGATGTTATCAACAAATTTTGTTGAAAATAAGAAAAAGTTTTGGAGTGAGATTAACAAGTTAAGAAAGCCTAGAGAACAAATGGATTTGTCAGTTAAAAATAGGAGAGGAGAGTTATTAAATGGAGAGTTAGAGGTATTGGGAAGATGGAGGGAATATTTTGAGGAATTGTTAAATGTTGAACATCAAAATGGTATACAATACCAACAGGTTGGTAGGTAAGACACATAGGCGACAGTTAGGCAACTTTATTCCGAAACGTTTCGCCTACACAGTAGGCTTCTTCAGTCGAATACAGAAAGTAGGCAGGAACAGTAGAGATGTGAAGACGATGTAATCAGTCCATCACCCTTGAAGTCGTAGAATTTGAGGTTGTCAGTCCCTCGGCCTGGAGAAGTTCAGTTCCATAGTCAGGAACTATCTGAAGATCAAGCGACAGTGCGGAGACTTAAATACTGTCGGAAGGAGAGGTGCAGAGTAGTAGTAGTAGTAGTAGTAGTAGTGAAAATGTAGCCACTGAGAGGTCAGGTCCCTCTCAGATCCAACAGTTCTCACTTGAAAGGGTTGTCTAAGGCATTTTCTGTACCAAGAGGCCATGTGTTGCAGTGTCTGACAAGATGAACACTGCAACACATGGCCTCTTGGTACAGAAAACGCCTTAGACAACCCTTTCAAGTGAGAACTGTTGGATCTGAGAGGGACCTGACCTCTCAGTGGCTACATTTTCACTACTACTACTACTACTCTGCACCTCTCCTTCCGACAGTATTTAAGTCTCCGCACTGTCGCTTGATCTTCAGATAGTTCCTGACTATGGAACTGAACTTCTCCAGGCCGAGGGACTGACAACCTCAAATTCTACGACTTCAAGGGTGATGGACTGATTACATCGTCTTCACATCTCTACTGTTCCTGCCTACTTTCTGTATTCGACTGAAGAAGCCTACTGTGTAGGCGAAACGTTTCGGAATAAAGTTGCCTAACTGTTGCCTATGTGTCTTACCTACCAATTGTTAAAGTTGATGAAGATAGGGAAGCTGTGATTTCGTGTATAGGGCAAGGAGGAATAACATCTTGTAGGAGTGAGGAAGAGCCAGTTGTGAGTGTGGGGGAAGTTCGTGAGGCAGTAGGTAAAATGAAAGGGGGCAAGGCAGC